CCTTGGGAATAGGGTGGCATACAAGTTGAATAAACCTCTAAACCTCTAACCTCTAAATTTACTAGGAAACATCTAAATATATATGACTTCTGCTTAAGTTATTTGTTTGTTTGCTTGCTTGTTTATTGGTATTGTTTATCATCACTTTCAGGGCTCATAGCAGAGACCATAATGCAACATGTAGAAACTATGACATCCCAACACATACAACCAAAAGTATAGATCTGGTGTGAAGGCAACACCATCATAATAAAAAAAACAACTTGAGAAAATACATGAAACCATCAACAACTTCTTCAAAGGAATAAACTTCACAAGGCAAGAAGAAAACAATACATTACCTTTCTACATATCCTTAGCAGAGGAAATGATGACAAATTAGACATGCAAATCTATTGAAAAACAAAAACTATCAGTCCTACCTCAGGACTGAAAGCCATCTGAATGACTTTGGGCCAGTCCTCATTCTCAATCCAACTAACCTCACAAGGTTGAGGAAAATAGGTGGAGGAAGAAGTGTTATATATGTTTGCCATATTAAATGTTTCTGCCTTAATCAATAGACTTTATCATCCCAAAACAAACAAGCCTGGGGAATGGGGTGAAAAGATGCTGAAATTTCAAACTGTCCAAAATTAGAAAAACAAAAAATAACTGAAGAAAATATGAAAAATGTCAATCATCACCAGAAATCCAGAAAAGTTGAGTATCTTCATGAAAATAAAAATGGAAGCAGCGATCGAAGAAGGAAAACCTTGCACAAAAGTTTGCAGTATGAGCAGAAACATGAAGTCCAAAGCAAGTCAAGATTGCTCATTCAAAGCTTTTGTAATCTCAAGAAGCATGAGGGCTTCAGCACTATCTGTGTGATTCCATGGCATCAACTGTGATAATTAAGTCAATTTATCCCTGGTTCAGTTGCACATGTTCAAAAAAGCAAAGACAAAACATGTGTTGGTTTTATGGAGCTTGTGAACAACATCACAATGCTTTTTGTTGTGCAATAAACATTAAGAATCATAGAACTTTAAGTAGAAAGATAGAATCCCTGAAAAGATGTTGTATTTTGGCGCTCTCTCTTGAGGCAAGACAGAATTTTGAAGAGGATGATTTGATCTTTCCAATCTTAACCTTGCAAAATATTGGATTAGATAATTCATTGGACTCCATGTTACAAATCAATCAGAATTAGAAATAACAGTTGAAAATCTTGCCAAGATGCAGAGGGAAAATTTTGCCCCTTTGGGCTTGAGTCTGCCATTTCTTTCATCCCTCTTCTTGGCTATAAACAGCTGAAGGCATTCATTTGCAGCATGGATGGAAATCCAATGTGCTTTCTCTGGGCTGTAGTAGAAATTTTTGGCAAGATGAGGCAGGATAGGAAGGGGAAATTTTATCAATTTATAAAACATTCAATTTCTGAAATACGGTATGTTTTTTCTTAAAGAAAATGGAGTGCTATGACAGCCTGGTGAAAGTGTAATAAAAAACTAAGATTGCAGTTCCATGGCTGCTGAAACCTTTATAGTGCTATCATCTTTTCTAGCTTTTTACACAATATATTTAGTTAATAACCTCCCTCTCCAGAACAGCTATATTATGTTTTGCAGTAAAAAGCTAAATCTTTTATTAATAGCCACTAAGTTTAAATGCACTCTCACTGACCTTTTGCATTTGAATTCTGTCTGCATGGAGTTAACTTCTCTGCATTTCTACCATCCCCTTCCTTTTCCTGGGGTGATCTCCCATTCTGCTTTGCCATCCAAATTTCTTATATAATGCAGTACTTCTGGTAGCTTCATCCGTAGCAATGCAGGGGCTGCTGCTTAAGGTGTCGTATGTGGGTCCAACGGATTCTGCTGGACAGTAGCACTTCACTTTTGCAGCAATGGACTATAGATCTGTATTTGCATAGAGAGATAGTGATCCAGCCTAAAAAAGCCACAATCATAATGAAAATCACAACAGAGACAGGAACCACATCTTAGATGCCATTCAGTCCCACTATTTTCTTTGGAAACTCTATAGCACATTTCAGTCTCCTTCCATTGTATTCCTGGAACTTCTCATTTTTTAAAGAAGTGGAGTGAGCATAGCAACATATAGATGCAGTGAGAGTTCCTGAAACTAGCAAGAGAACATTATACTTTTTTCAAAGGAAAAGGTTTCCCATCCTGGTTAACAAGATTTGTTTATTCAGATTACCCTCTCTGGGAACAGAAGTGCATTTCTAGATGGTATGTATTCAGAGAACTCAGTTGCCATTAAAACTTTGCCCTTTTTGTAGCACGTGAAGAAGAGTGGCATGGCCTCATCAGTGCTTGAACCAGAAGAACAAAAAGTGTAGCCAGTACTCCCAGGAGCCAGGCCAAAAACTCTGCTTCATAAAGTACCCAAATTTTGCCTTTTGCTGTATCATGGAGCAGAGCATCTTTAACTCTGTCAAACTTTCTCATGGATGCAATAATTTAATTAATATTCAGCAGCAGTATAAATTATGAGCCAAACTCTACCCGTCTAGCAGCTACTCTATTTTAATCCCCTTATCTTAGCAAAACTTGTTGGAGCTCTTCCCCTAGGAAGATGGCAAGAATTGTGTATCATCTAGTTTTAGGAAAGGCATTCTAATGGTCCATGAATGCCCACTCCAAAGCCTCTACCTAGGGAGGCTTTGCATATTGACAAAGCAGGCTGAACAGTTCACAACAATATGCTAATTAATTAGTTGCTGAGTTCTGCAAGAAACTAATGCAAGTTATTATATTGACAGTGACTGTCAATTTTGACATTGAAATTACCTCACTTTGAGTGGAAATATTATCACTCAGTGAGGGAGACAGGCAGTCTCTAAATGTGATGAATAAAAATAACATATAATAAAATAAATAAATTATCCTTAATGTGCAACTTTTGTTAGTAATAAACTTACTTGAAAGTTCCAGGGGCACAAATAATGGATTACACCATCTTTTCATTAATGAACATCTTAGAGAATATGGAACTTTCCTGAAGGACACTTCTACAATTTCTGCCACTGTATTGTTATCTGTATGGTAGGTTTGTCAGTTAGGTTGTGTTATCCTGTGATACAGACTGATGTTATACTTGCAAGAGATTTCAGAGTGACAAAAAGCACACCCAGGAGTACCAGCGCTATCTGGATTGTAGTGCTACATTAATAGAATCTTGAAGGTCTGAATGTATCCCTACTTTCTTTCACTTTTACTCTCCTGAAAATTAGAGAGGGTCTCCTCTGGGATGCTTTTGCCACCGCTCCACCATTGCCTAGGTTATGGTTTTTCTTCTGTTTCCCAAGGTCATTCCCACATACCATTATAATCTGATCTCAATCAGGAAGCTATTCCAAAGGGCAAAGGCTGCTACTGAAGAGCAGCATCTCTTGGATTTCTACCTGCTCACTTCATCAAAATGGGATTTAGTCTTTGTTTTCTACTGGCTGATTGTATCAGGAGACCAAGTACCAAGCCTATCCAGGTATACAGGCAGAAAACAGCATTTTGTTTTCCTGGAAGCCTACTGGGAGCCAATGCAGGATTCAACCCAAAGGTATAATTCACTATAGAATGCTGGCTTTAAAAAAACCCTGCTCTATTTTGAACTATTTGCAGTTTTCACACAGTCTTCAGAGGCAACTCTATGCAGACCACATTCTCAGTACACATATATCAATTCCATCTTACTTGATTTCAGCTTGATTCAATTCCATCCCATCCATCCAAGTTGTGTCACAGAAGGCCCATTGGACCATTCAAACCTTATGTTATTGAGTTGTGTAATCTGATTTTCTTTTGCACCCCAAAAATAGTTGGTTGTTGCTGAGTTCAAAGTGCCGAGTTCAGGTGCTGAGTTCAGGTGATCAAAGGTGGAGTAGATTCTGAAAAATAGTCCAAGGTATTGAGAAACACTAAGCTAATCTTTTGATATAAAGCTGCCTTATATTGGATGTTTGGTCTACCTAGGGATATAAGCATTTCAATCGGAGGCATTCTGCATACGAAGCATGCATTCTGTTTTCTTCTTGGATACACAAGCTTGTCAATAGAAATACATTTCTTGTTAAAGTGCTGTGATCTTTCTTTCTTTTATTTATTATCAGGCACTTTCAAGGTGTCAGAGGACTTGATTCTTCAGAAGATAGAAAGGGAATGTATTCTCATGTTGATCCTCCTTCCCCTGTTGAGCTCTAAACTTCACATTATTAGGAGATTGCCAAAATCATTTTTCTAAGGAACATGTGATATATTCACTGATTTTCTGTTAAGAGGAGCCATGCCGCTCAATTCCCTACTTGTCACTTTGAAAAGTCAGGGGACTTGAGTGCTAGAACTTTGGTCATAAAAATACAAGCATCATTAGCAAAGCGAGCAAGAAGAAATGAAACAGCCTTTTGATTCTTGAGCTGGAACTAAGTGAAACCCACTGCCAGCTACAGGCAAATTTTCATTTTTCATTTTTCACCATGAGCCATATCTGCTAAGAGAAATGGGACATCAAATATTAATTTAGTAGTTTCCTCTAAAATATAAATTGTTCAAATTTACCTGGACTCGTTTTATTTCAGAATGAAGTTAGACCCACTGGCTACCTGTAACATTGAGCTAGGAGTGATCTGTTAAATAGTTTAGCCACTTGAGAAGTAATTGCCAATAGACTGGATATCCTCCTACTCAATCAAAGTACAGTGATATACATACAGTCTTTTGCCCTTTTCAGATTTGGATTCATTCTGTTTTTGCTTAAAATTTTATGCAGCAAAGGTTATACAAGCATACACTCTCTATTACAGAATAGGTAAGCACCTTTTGATTGAGGGAAAATAATGCGCCTTCCGTCAGAAAATTAAAGGCAGTTGAAAAATGAAATATCTGCTATGGGTCACTGAGTTAGAGATATTATAATCTCAGTGTAAATTGTGTCAACTAGGGTGCTGTGTGTATATTGTGTGAGAGATATATCACT